TCATTTCCTGCTTTTAAATTCCAAAAACTCTAGCAACAATTGCAGTTTTTCAATTATTGTTTGAAAAACCAGCACTGAGAAAACCAAGACAGAGACAGGCCCTTCCTCCAGGCTACAAGGCAGTTCACTGAGAACAGTAGTTAAAGGATTCCATGAGAAGGAAGAGGATGGGGCAAAGAGAATTATGTCGGGGTAAAATAAGTCACATGACTAACAGGAGAAAAGAGATCCCCTCCAGCTCTTCTCAGTGAGAGAAGGTAAAGACATGCATGCATGCACAGACCTGGACTGCAACCAGTTCATACTGTTTCTTGGGGCATTGCAGAATAGTTAATCTAGTCCATGGGCTGTTTCCGCAATGAGTGCAGTGGAGCTCAGACAAGTAGCACCTCATTTGTGAGCTTTCCTTCCTATGAGCTTCTTCACAAAGCCTGACTCTGTGCATGTTGATATCAACGGAAAATGCTTCTTGAGTTTAACGGGCCCTTGGATCAACCTTCAAGGCAGGATTTCTTTTTTCTGGCCCATTTTAGCAGGATCAATTTTATTGTGGATTAGGCCAGTCTGTAGTGAGGCTGGCATCTGAGGTCTTTTGGGGACTCTAATGTCTGAAAGCTGGGGATGTCTTTTGCTGGATCAGGCCTATAAAAGTAACTTATTAGTGCTAATATAGGAAGAGCTTCACCTTGCTTGGAATTATCTGGAATGTTTGCTTGAACAGAATGCTACAATAGCAAATCTAGTTGCAGACCCATCCTTAGGGCAAGGCGAGCAAGGCGGTTGCCTTGGGTCCCACGTCTTCAGGGCCCCATGCTGCCTGGTGCTCTCCCGCCCGGCTACTCGCTCGCTGCCCTTGCTGTGAGCCGCCCACTATGCGGACCGCATGACGCGAGGCAACCAACCACAACATCCCGCTTTGGGCCCCACAAACTCTTAGGCCGGTCTTGCCCAGTTGGCTCCAGGTGTGGGTAGAGAGAAATTGAGGTTCTCAGCTCAAGACAGGAGATAGTTCATTCTTGACCTGGGTTGATTTCGAACTTGTCTCTCTGGGATGTTGATGGTTTTATTTTTGGTGGGAAGTTCACTGAGGCTAAAAAATACCTCCCACATACCTCACTGTCACTATTTGGCCTCTTTGTTGTGGTTCTGCATTGTGGGAAATATATCCAGGAGCACACACATTATAGCAAAGCTCCCACAGTCCATGACAGCCTGTGCGTGGTGCTAGTAGAGCTCCGTAACTATTTGTGTACCGTTTGTGCTGGCTTCTGCACTCAACAGCAGCTGTATGGTAGCTCTAAAGGGACACACCATTACTGTTAGCAGGCTGATCAAGAGAACCCAGAATGCAAAGGTTACACAGAGTCAGTTTCAAGTCAGAGTTCAGACACATGTGTGGGATGCTGTGTTGCTCCCCAATGCACTTGTAGGACTCCAGTCTCCAGGGCAGTTAATCCAGCACTATATTAACAAATCCTGACAAGAACATTTTATCCAAAATTCTCTCCAGCTGTTACAGTTCAAAAAAGAGGAAGCCGTCAAAACCAAGATGAAATGATGATCTTAGTCTTGGGGTGAAAGGGTTGCCATCCTTTATGCTTTGTGTGAGTCTCCTATGCTCCCTAACAGCAACAGGCCTCACTGCTGCTGTTCTATGAAAGGCTACTCCAGTCCTGGGCTGGTTGCCTGATTCTCAGCTTCTCCTGTTGTCTCTGAATTTGACACTTCTTCGGAAAAAGCCAATGAGCTGTCAGTACAACAAGGGCAAGGGAGAGTGATGCAGAAAGATTAAGATTGCAATCTCTTTCCTAAAGAAATTGTTCTGTAGGGCTGCAGTTCCTACCAGACAGATTCTCTTCTGGTTCTGCTACGCGTAATAACCCTGCAAAATAAGTCTTTCATTTCCTCCTCAGGAGAGCCACCTGAAAAAAGAATTGGCACCAAGACAATATGCCATGGGAAAACTAGGTTTAAGTAACCCAAGACACTGGATGACTCAGAATCCCATATTGAAAAGTATATTTAAAAAGATGAGGCCCACAATAGTTAACCCCATATAAAAGATATTTGCAAGGATCAAATTTTTATTCATTAAATGTTAATTAAATTCTCATTGTTGTTGTCCATCAGTGGAGAAAACATGTTTCCAAAGAATGACTCAGAAGTTTTCTCTATTTTATGTAATAAAGCCTATATTTTAAAAAATGGATACTAATTTTGATTGCTTCTATTTTTTTGGTGCTTCACCTGAGTCATCTAAGGCCTGATTTTTTAGAAGTGCTGAATGCTCACAAATTCAATTTATTTAAATCAATGGACAGTACCATTGTTTGGCACTTTTGAAAATCAAAGTATTAAGTGTTTCAAGGTGAGCATCAAAAATTATAGATACAGCTGGGAAAGAGCAAATTTTTATTTATTGAGACTCAGATTTTTTTTTGCCATCTTCAGTATTCTAGCAAATAACCAACTACTTTTAATTAAGACCAGCTTGAGAATTTTCATGAGGTTAGCACATAAAAATAATCTCAAATCTTTAGACAAAAAGTGAATGTAAAATTATAACTAAATAATGCAACCTGGACTATAATTTGCTTGTTATAAACAAGCTTCAAGTTGCATTTAGTGTTTATGATATTAAAGAGCTGAAGAAACTGTCAGGAAAAGAATGTTTTCAGTGAACTGTATCACTTTACCCAATCATTTAGGCTACAGTACAATGTCTTTACTTGGAATCTTTTTTATTCATGTGTATTATGTCTTTGAGATTATAAATGGGAAATCGCAATAAGTTTAGAAACTATTGTTTTTCATTCATTACTGTAGATTTGTGTGTTGCATAAGATAATACCATGTTTGTCTTGGTCACCCAATTTAAGAATAAAAATATAGTCATCATATCAGTTTAAAAGCAGAGAGGTTACTAAAGGCCGATGTCCTTCACTGTGTACTGTGCTGTCACACAATAGGCAGAATATTGTGGCAGACATTTAATGAAGTCAGAATAAACACTCTGAAGATTGGCCTTGTCCATCTTTGGTTGAACAAAATTTAAACAGTTGCCTGAAGCCTAATCACACAGGCTAGGGAAGATGTAGAAGAGGCGTCTCTTTTCATGTGACTTTCAGAATAATGCAGCTGTAACCTGCTAAAAATTCTATGAAAATTTCCACAGTGAGGTGCTTCAAAATTCCAGGTTACTGGTTTTGGAATCTGAACTTCTTTTTGAAGTAAAATAAATCTACTTGCCGTTTTAACATATTATGCCATGATGTACACTAGAACACTGAGTATGGACTAATTGGAAGAAAATCCAAATGATAACTCCTACATCCTTGCAAGATCTGTTCTTTTTAAATAAATTAGTTCTGATGCCAGAGTCTTTGTATCACCACATAACTACTATAGTAAAGACTTAAGCCCCAACCAGCATTTAAATATTCCCATCAGAAGAGAAGTTTGAATGGATTACACGTGCTTAAAATTATTCGTGAGTATTCATATATGTTTTGCTGGATCAGGCATGTAACTGGATCGTCAGTGGGCTGGGGGAAAGCATTTTCACTGAAGTGAATGTCAGCATTTTAAGATGAAGTGGTGCAAGGTAACCTCTCTATAATTTAGTTAAAATTGCAATAACTTTATAGAGAAGACATTGTCTGGAGCCCATTTCTATAACACTGTAAAAATGCAGCTACCTGATTAAATAAATGATTGATTAATTAATTGATTTATGGCAGCGGGCGGCCCCAGGCTTCAGAGTGGCTGAGGACAGAGGATTTTCACCTACCCATCATTCTGGGTCATGGCACGCTCAGCGTATTCTCTCGCAGAGCCAAGAAACCAGAATCTATTCCCAAACCCAGGTATTCTGGCTGTCATCTGACCAGTCTTGAATTGTGATGTTTATGCATACTAAGATTTGCACCCAGAAGAGCTCTGGAGAACACATTTAAATCTATAATTGCTGCTACTGAATTAAAAATATGTATGATACATTTTAATTTATTGTAATTTATGCACTATAGATCAACTCCTGCTCATTTTACTTACAGAAGTAGTCCCATGAATTTCAGTGGCACAGTCACATGACCAAAGTCCTGTGTGAATATTGCACATTGGAAAGAGAGATACAAACTCAGTCCGGTTAATTCCCTTCAAAGTTATCCATCATTCACATAAGTATCTGTTGATTATTCACGCCTTTCTATCTGAAGTGCACTTATTGCTAAATACTATATTTCAATTAGCAAATGAAACACATTTTGTGAAGCACTTCTTTTGTGATCCAAGCCTACTTTTTAAAAAAACCATTAAATTTCCTTATGGGAACAAAATTAATCAAGTTAATGTATTCTGTGGATAAAATGAATGTGTTCAAAGTATCAACAAAGTTCTTGATAAAATGTAAATATCTTGAGTTAATAGGAGCAGGACAAGTAGATTTCATACAGTCATAACTTCAATGAGACACAATCTGAAGCCACTTAACTAATTATTTTCTTTTAAGAACACTATTTAGATTTTAGATACCCAAATTCCATTCCCTTAACTGCTCCTTTCTTTTTATTTATCCTGTCATACTTCCTTTCCCTGCTAAAATCCTACTGTGTGGAGTTGTTGCAAGGAAAAAAAAGCAATAACTACTACATATTCTGTAAACATCACACAAAGCAAGCCTGTGAACAAGTGTTGTGGTATAGGCATATCAAGCACTTACATATTTGTTTGTTAGTCTCACAGGACATAGCAGCTATGCTATTTTCTCATCTTACCTGTCATTAAAATTAAAATTACTGCCAGTCCTTTTTAATCCCTTTTACTAATAATATTAGAAAGAGAAGGGACTGCCGTTATTTTATTATCACTTTTTTGGCATTTAACATGGCTTTAAGTAACTATTACCAGTATGAAACAATCTACTAAATATGTTCAATTCCTACTATGTAAATAAATAGTAATCATGATGGGCTAAAGCCCAACACTGGATGAATTACAAAAGGTACTTAACTAATATTGGCCCAATACACCACTGACTGGTACTTAGCTTATTATTTACATCTCTTCAGAGGATATAAAGTTCTGCCAAATCAAAATGATAGCACTGAAAACACATGATGGAATGGGAGAAACTGACCCTGTGTTTCCATGTAGATTTGCTGGAGATATCTTCCTGAAATTCTAAGACCAGGTCTATACTGAGGGGGAAAGTTGGCTTAAAGTATGCAACTCCAGCAACATAAATAACATAGCTAGAATTAATGTACCTTAAGCCAAGCTTGATGCTGTCTCCATAGCAGGAAGTCGATGGGAGAAATGTTCCCGTCCACTTCCCTTACTCTTCATGAGAGCTAGGGATACCAGTGCCAATGAGAGGAGTGCCCTCAGCATTCGATTTAGTGTGTCATTACTAGACTCGCTAAATCGAACCCCAGAAGATTGATCGTCAGAGTGTTGATCCTCCGGTAAGTGGAGACGTGGCCTAAGTAGCCCTGAAAGAACATAAGAACAGCTATACAGGGTCAGACCAAAGGTCCATCTAGCCCAGTATCTTGTCTTCCAAAGTGGCAAATGCCAGATGCCCCGAGGGAGTGAAAAGAACAGGCAATCATCAAGCAATCCCTCCCCTGTCACCCATTTTCTGCCTCTGACAAACAGAGGCTAGGGACACTATTTCCACTCATCATGGCTAAACTATATGGGTATGTCTAGACTACATACCTCTGCTGACAGAGGCAAGTAAAATAGGCTACCGACATAGTCAATAAAGCTGGGATTTAAATATCCCCGGCTTCATTAAAATAAAAATGGTCCCCATGCTGTGCCGGCTCAGCTGATCGTCGGCACAGCACATGAGTCAAGATGCGGATCGGTTGACAAGGGAAGCCTTTGTTGACCACTCCTTTATGCCCTGTTGGCAGAGGCATGTAGTCTAGACATACCCTATGTGATAACATTTCAGTTTTATTTGTATCATCTTGCATGTGATGTCTTTTAATTCTTTTAATACCGTTTGTCTGAGAGTCCATTAAATGTCATCTACCATTATTTTAGTCAATCTTAATGGTTTTCAAAATGTGTATGTTCCATTTGAAAGCAATTTGAGTCTTTACGGCTGTCTTCTAAATATTTTGTAATGTTCTAAAAACAATTCTGTGTTGAAATCAAGAGTCAGTCCTAGATTATGGTCTAAATTACATTGATGTAACCCTAAAGTAATTTCAGTGATGTTATACAGGTGTAGTCAGGTCAGAATCTGAACCTTAGGCTATGTCTAGACTGCAAGCCTCTTTCGAAAAAGAGCGTCTAGATGCAAGCGGAACTTTCGAAAAAGCAAGCCGCTTTTTCGAAAAAGAGCACCCAGGCAGTCTGGATGCTCTCTTTCGAAAAAACCCTGTTTGCATTCAAGAACGCCTTTTTTCGAAAGAGCACTTTATCAAGATTTAATTTTGAAAGAACGCGGCTGCAGTCTAGACGCAGGGGAAGTTTTTTCGAAAAAACCCCTGAGTCTGGACACAGCTCTAGTGTGTATCTACACTGCACCATAGGTCGAAATAAGATATGCAATTTGAGCTGTGCACATTGATTGCATTTTTATTTTGATGTTATTTCAAAATAGCTTATTTCAAAATTTGGCACTTTCTACACAGCACTTATTTAAAAATAAATCACTATTCAGAAATGTCTCTTACGCCTCATAGAATGAGGTTTACAGGAGGTTTACAGGGACCTCAGAATAGTGAACCCATTATATTTTGAAATAATAGGTGTGCTCAAAAGATGCAGAATATCCTGAAATAGCGCTGCAGTATAGACTTAGCCTTTGTGTAATAATGTGGTTTTATTCTTAGCCATAAAATACAGTTGTGATGGTTGTGTGAGACTATATGTAATTTAAATTTACATTTCTATTCAGATAATAATTTTCAGCCTTATCTGTGTTTGTTTTTATTGATATGCAAACCTCCGGAGGTCTGACTTTGAGTTTCATTAAGCATCCAGAACAGTAGCTATGACCATTACTTTTAGCACCAGTGACTTAGAGGTACTATAGTACATTCCTTTAATATTCAGTAAAGTATTTATAAGAGATGTAGAGGAAAGAATTTGTAGAAGATAAGTAAGTTCCCATCTAAAAAACTGCTAAACTCAAAAGATAAAAGTGGAGTGAATAACAAACCACATTTCATGAGTACTTTTCCATTAAATTCTCTGTACAGATCTCTAGTACGGGTATTTAATTTATGTGTTTTTGTCACTGAAGTCATATGATTCAACAGTATCTGTAGAAGCAAGCTCTATCTTCTGTGTGCATCGTTGGGGGCTTACTTTTGAAATCTGGGTCTCTTATTTAGTTGCTAAGCATAGAAGTATGAGTCTAACATTTAAAAACTTATAACATTTAAAAACTTTTTTATCTTTACACTCTCTCTGAAGAATGCAAAATTAAAATAGCCCCTCTAGTCAGTATCTTTTACTGACAGCCTTTCTTTTGAAGTAAGTCATTTAGCTGTATGTTCAGAAGCTCACTCAGGACTAAAGATGCAGACAGGCGTCTAGAATTCGAAGGACTTTCTGTGTATATGTAGGGTCATGACTGTAGTACTTTTTTATTCAGATAGACAGCACCTCGTAGTAAGATAAAGTTTTAACCATGAACCATTGTGTGTGCAACTTCAAAAATTAAATGCAGATGTCTTTTTGGTATTCCTCTTTTTTTTTTTTTACTCATTTTAAATTTTATTTGAGTTCAGAAGGTATCTCAAACAAACAAACTTCAGAAAAATCTAGATGATCCAGAAAAGCACCCAGAAGTCTGTTTACCTGTGTTAAAGTGCTACTGGATAAACACAGATAGACACATGATTATTTTACAGTAATAATTAAAACTACCAAACCCTGGGAGTGCTGTCAACTAAATGAAAAAAACCTAATAAAAACTCTTAATGCAACTTATTTCAAGATGAAAAATGGTCAGATGTTATTTAAGGGTGGGCACTTCTTTGTGTTGGTTGTTATTTTATTCAAATCAGTTCATAAATCTCTAATAATAATAATCTGTTAAAGGTATGTGATTTTTAATATGCAGAACTACAGCTCCATCTTAATTACAATGAGGTCTTGATGCTTGCATCCTATAAAATAGGCAAAGGGGAAAACATATCTGTGACAACGAGATTGTTGGGGTTTCCAATAAGGGAGTAGGATCAATTAGGATTAAATTAGAAACTCATGACTTTACAGCAATTTTGAATGGTTTTCTGTGGTTCCCATTGATAGCTTTGAAATTAAATGAAAGCAACAGGACTTTTTTCTCTGATGAAATATTGAAATGACATAGAGAAGATGGATATATTATATTATAGCTATCATTTTGGCCCTAAAATCTTGTTCTGTTTCTAGAAGAAAATGAAAAAGTATTGCTGTACTGTTGTGGTGTATTATTTTGGGTTTCTTTTATTGATGTTTCTGTACAATGTGCAGAAAGATCTAGTTCATCTCTGCCCTTTAGGGAAATACGAAATGCTTGTTTAATGTGACTAGAAAATACAAACTCAACCCAAGCAGTCTGATTGACTAAATGTTAAACTTCTATATTGATAACCCAGTTTCAACTCTTTGATGTCTAACATAATCTAATAAATCTAATAACATAATCTAATAACCATTGATGGAGAATTTGTTGTGGAAGTACTTTTCATTAGTTACCTTGTTCGCCATACTGAAATTGAGATTTAGGGACCAGTATCAGAATATGTATGTTATTTAAAGATGGCTACCATTGGAGGAGACTGGGAAAGAGAACTAGCAGCTGCACTCAGTTCTCTGTTTTTCTTAATTCATCTATCAGATGGTTCACATTCAG